TGGAAAAGTTATCGATTATAAAACATAAACCACACAAAATTGCTTTATTTATGATAAAATAAAAAACTAATAAGGCTTTCTTTCCCTTATCAAATGTATGGTATCCGGGCATACAATTTACTTTATATGAAAATAAAATGTGTGACAAAAGGACGAGAGAAAAAAAGACTGTGAAGAAATGTGAAGTGTAAAACTCGGAGAAATAAAATTTTTATTATATGCGGGGAAAGCTTTTTAGCGGTTCTGTTGGCAAAAGGATTTTTTGTGCCGACATGTTGGAAAGTCGGTCCCGTCGTTCTTTTGTTTTATATTAAATATGCGAAGGTACATGACCTGGTTTAAATTAAATTATGCTAATTTTTAGCTGGAAGGGACACGGAATTATTTTTAATAAGACACGGGAAACATTAAATTGTGAGGTACGTGATTTATATTAAATATCTGGATTTTTTTTACAATTGTGATTTATATTAAAATATCTGGATGGATTATTGTGAAGTATTCAATCCGTTTTTTAAGTTTTTTTTAGTCCAGTAAATGAAGATTAATACCACTGCCAATTCATCGACCGGGACTTTTCAAGCGAAGTGTGTATATTTTGAGAAGTTTTAGGAGAAAAATCAGTTTTTCGCAAATATCTGCCAAAAAAAAAACATGTGCCATCTCTCGTGGGGAGATTCCTCATGTAAAAATTAGATTTATTTTTCATATCAACATAGGTCCGATTCTGCTTTATTTTGTAGCTACAGGGTGACTTTAACTTAATAATTTTTCAATTTATTATAATTTTCTTCCAAGTATTTTTAGTGATTTGAATGAAACTTTGAGAGTAAAAGTTACTATAAGTACTACATATTTTAATGCTAAAAAAGTGTCGATAAATTAATCAGGGACGTTCATATGGGTTTTCACTGGAATATTTTTCAAAAAAATAACATGTGCGCCACTGACTTTTATTCTTTTGATATACAAATTGTGTAGGCCGTTTAATGCCAATTAAAATTCATGTCTTGATATTTTGTCGAATTTGATTAGATAAACGCAATTTTATTATACTCTGTTTTTTTCTCAGGTAAGATTTCGACAGACGATGACAGAAGAAAAGCAGATGACGTCTCATACCAATCTATTTATTTTACTAAAAAAAGTTTCTAATAATTTTTAAGTTATCTATGGATGGGTTTAAATATAAATCCGTCATACGTCGTGTCTTGTTGTTTTTAACCAGTTTTATTGGTTTATTTAAAAAATGACAGATCGTATTTCAATCGTATTGGTTTGACGGAACGATTAACGACAAACGAACACCGATGCGTATGAACTCGCCTTTAGATTTTTGTCATTTTTGACGCTTGTCAAAGTCTTGCCAAATTATAGGTTATAATTTTGTGTCAACTTTTGTTAAATACCCTGCGTTTTGAAAGATGATGCATTTTGATTCGTATTATTACGTGTGTTTTGTGTCTTTTGAAGTCAAGTGGAGGAAAAATCGAGTGAAAATTAACTGTAGACCCAGAGCACAGTTTATGGTTAATACTCGCTGCCCAGGCAGAAAGTCTTATACACCAATGAAGTTGCCATCGATAAAGTTTGTATACCATTTCGTCGTAGATAAGTGCATCTCGTATATGGTAGAAGGATCAAACTAAACACATACTAAAAACTGGAGTAGCTGTAAAATATCGACATCACACGATAGGTAAATAATGGATTTTAGTACTGCAGAAAAATAATGTCAAAAGGTATCTAGTGGTTTAAAAAAATTTAGATTAAAGTTAATTAATCAACCTTTAAGGTATAAAATTTGGTAGGTGTTATTATTAATAAAATAGTTTGTTTTATTTACCTATGTTGTTTTATTTATTCCTGTGGAATATTACAAATTTCATCAACATTCAACAATCATAAATGCGGGTAGTTTCATAAAGCTTGAAAGTAAATAATAGTTCTTTTTTATATTTTTTTTTGGTATGTAGTGTCTTATTCTTGTTTGTTTTGTATTAACACATACCGTTTTTATTAAATAAAATAACTCAATTACATTTTTTCAGTTTTATACAGTTTTTTTCACAATATTTTGAAGTAATCACTTGTCATCTTGTCAATCAAATTTTAAATATATCCTGCTATGCGTTCCAGTTGTACCAACTTATTTCTTTGTAAAATAAAATAAACTACTTTGAAATTAAAATGACAGACACATCTATCACTGTCAAGGATCTTCTCGTTGGGCAGACTATAATCACAATTAATCTCCCCACAAAAGATGGCACATATTTTTTGGGACACCCTGTATAAATTTAGTAATCCTATGTTTTAAAAATTATAGATCGTTAGCAGCAGAAACTGCAATGGTAGAGATGAGTAACAAATCGCAAACTGCGATTCAATCGCAGCGATTTTAAAATCGCAATTGCAACTATTTTCTACTTGTGAGTTTCAATTTAGGCAACCAATATTACTATAGTTGCAAATTGCGATTTTGTTGCTATTTGCGATTTTGTTGCGACTGTGATTTGGTGGTCCATTGAAGCATTTTATAGTAAACTGCGATTGAATTTTAAGGTATTATTTCCTAGGGCCAAGATTATAGTATACCGGGTGTTTTCTCAAGAGTGGTTCGCCTCTATAACTTTTTTATTTTTTCTAATAAAAAAACGTGATTTGGTATGTAAGAAAATGCCATAAATTAGAATTGATTGCCGTATTCAATTCGTTTCGATCACTTCCTGTTTCACCGGAAATGGCTACAACTTTTGATTTTTAAATGGAACCCTTGGTATTTTCTTTACTTTATACGACAGAAAATGACACTCTGAATAGAACGCCTAGTACAATATTTAAATATTAAAATCGCAATCGCAGGTTACGGTCGCAGTGACTTAAATATCGCAATCGCAGTTTCAATTGCGATTGGAATCGCAATTTTACTCATCTCTAGAAACTGGTATTGAAATTTGAAATATCGCTGTGTGAAAGACATACAAAAAGAGAATAGAAACACTAATCTAAAAAACGTTTTTAAATTTGTACTAATTATATTAGTTTTGTTGAACGCCCTTTGTTCTTTGATGTCTTTGAACAATGTTCCCATATTTTTATTCAAAGCATTTTTTTATCCAATTAATTGAAATTTACTTTGCGGTGTTAGAAGGAGGAGAGACAGGCTTCGACTACAAATAATTTTTTACGCAATTTAAAAAGTTAGCTCAGTGAACCTCTCTCTAATGATACAGTAGATCTTTGTCATTAATTGTTTTGCCGTGTTACAGACGGACTGATTCAAAACGAATTCCCACACAATTTAAAAAAATAGGAATACGTTTTGAGAAACAAATGTTGGACGTTTGTTACTTATAATGCCTTAATAATTCTCGTTTGTTAAGGGTATTGTTAATATTGTGAAATGTTATTGTTAATATAATAGTTGCGATAGTAGATTATGTTTTAGATTGGGTCTTTAAGATGGCTATCGGCCTGTTCAACTGCGATCTTTTCAGATCTTTTGTGATCCTCTTCTGAGCTCTAGGTTACATTCCCAAATCCGATCCTTTTTAAAACTCTAATAAGTTATACAGACCGGACCGCCGTAGTAACATAGGCAGAACCGGACGAATTAGCGTATACCCGTCCGCGGGATAAAAAAACAGGCGAAAAAATGCGATAAAATAAAAATAGGTAGATATGTGATAAGAATGTTTCATAATTTGTATTTATTCGTGTTTAATAGCCAAAACGAATACATAGATTCTCGCGACAGTTTTCGTGCAAAATTATTTTTTTAAGTAAAATAATGGATGTTTACGAAGTTCGTGAGAAAATTCAAATTGTAAAATGGTATTTCCAAAATAGGTCGTATCGGGATATACAAACAATTTTTCCACAAACTTTTGTAAACAGGGCAATTCTATCTTTACCGACTTATCAAGAGTTATTAATAATTTTGAAACACATGGGTGCGTGTCCCCACAAAAACACAAGAAGCCTGATGTGTTGATTAATGAAGAACAGGAGTTAAAGCAAGTGCTTAATCGTTTAATTAGTGGATATGGAACTATTGTGTGACCCGCTAGATCACCAGATCTTTCTCCCAATGATTTCTTTTTGTGGGGTTATGTAAAACTCAAAGTGTATGGTCATAATAGGGCTAATAATCTAGATGAGCTTCAAGTAAAAATACGAGAGGCTTTTCAAACTATTAGCCCTAATATGTTAGCCAATGTCAGACGGGAATTTTACGACCGCCTAGGCTTCTGTCTAGCACAAGAAGGTGGTCTTTTCAAACCAAACCAAACCAAACCAAATCAAACACTTGATATAACTTTTTTTTATTTAGAGTAATATTTTAGTTTTTTTTGGATTTAGAGAATTTATTTATTTTTAGTTTTGGCTTGTAAACACACTCAAATAATAAAGATTTTAGTATTTTTATTTTAAATGTTACCTTAAATGAAGGTAAACACTTAAAATGAAAATAATAAATACTCGGCACTCCTCGCGTCGTATACCTAGTCTGTCACGACCGACCCGTCCAAGCACAACTGCAACTGCGTACTGCCTGACTAGCCGACTAGCCGGCAGTGAATCTCGAGTACGAACGCAAATTGGGTAAACGTAAATTCGTCCGGCAACTTGCTATGTTACTAGTAGCCTGGTCTTCTCTGTATAGCTCTTTTTCAATGGATTATCGTTACCTTAGACAAATAACGGCACATTTGCTCTATCGCTCTATCTCTTTCGTCCATCTTTAGGTGCCTACAATCTGCCCTGTTAGTAGACCCCCGTAGCTTTGCTAGTCTTCATGTCTGCTTATCAAATCTACCTTAAATTGTGGCGAATATTCTACTATACTTATCTCGGAAATTATATCACAAGTGGAATTATTGTTGTTGTTACATTTCGTAACTTTTTTATATTTATTGACATTGGGCTGATTTTTTTCAGAATTTGTTGATTAAAATATGTATATGTATATGAAAAACTATGGCCGACTTACTTACCTTCCACCTATTCAGTACTCTTACGGAGATTTGGTCTATTTGACCCCTCCTGCAGAATAACACCCTGAAATGAAGAAATTAAAAAAAATATAATAAAGATCTATATTTGCAATTAAGAGTCCATTTCACTAATCCGAAAAAGTAGCAAAATAAGCGTTCGGCATTTATGTAAAATTGGTTAGGTATTTTTACACAAATGAAGAAGGAAATTAAAGTTAAAGGATTATATTGTAGCACATTTTTAGACAACTTCTTTATTTTTAAGATTTTGATGGTTACTCATCAACAAAATATTCCTTATGTTTGGACTAAATTTTCACGAAAATAAAGACATAATTTAAAATTCTGTTACAATACGGAAATAGATTGAAGTTTTGTGATTACAGTGATATATAATTTATATTGTTTAGTAAAAAATTGCTCGCTATTTTATGGAAAATGCAAACCTTAATCAAGCCTTAATCAAAGCACGTGTGTTTGGAATTTTGGGTGTGGCTTAACACGACAGGGTCGGCCCTAGGCTGATTTCTGAAATATAATATATATATTTCCTTCGGCCACGCACCCGCTTTACCCGACCCCTGAGAGCAACCCGAAAGTACAGCGTAATGACTCTTAAAGATTAAGTATACAATCAAAACAAAATAATATTAATCAAAATTACAAAAAGGCGAATTCCAGTGCTAAATTGAAATAGAAAATAGCTTGTTTAGCTAACTTCAGCCTAGTACATTTATTACGTACATAAATCTAAAATATACTCCATTTATCTGAGCTTTCTTCTAGTATTATAAATAATAAGAAATTAACTTTAAGCACGTATCAGTTTGATTATATTAAATATACTCTACTGAATTTTCAATTTTCTATATTCAAGTTGTGCAAAAGACTAATTAAATGACTTTAGTATTTCGTCGGATTTCGTGAATGAAAAATTAAAACTGGACGAAAAGCGTATTTCCTGTTCAAAATTAAATTATAAGTATCAGAAAGACAAACCGGTTAAAATTTCTAGAGCTCGACAATTCCTAGTTTCAGCTATCTCCATCATTATGACTTTTGTTTTATTAACGAAAATATCCGACACTAATGACTAACAATTTCGTTTTGTATTCGGTTTTTGATACAAATTGCAGAGACTATCAATATAGTTTATAATTATATTCGGTAATAAGGTCTTTCGTTTTCTATCGAAAACTACAATAATTTTAATAAAGTAATAAATATAATAATAAGTTTTGAGAGTCAAAACCCGAAAGAAATTAATTGATAAGAAGATATTATTTACTAATTGGTTTATTTTTTCTACTCAGGTTTAATTAAAATAGATACAATTAGAGTATCGTGATTAGAATCATTCTTATAATAGAAGAATTTGAAAAAAAATTGAACGAAACATTGAAAATATTCCTAATTATTTAAATTATTTTTTTAATTTAAAAAATTAGCAATATTTTTAATTTGTGGGAGAGAAATATATCTTGAACATCTCGGCATCTCTTGTTGGCTAATTTTATGCAAAAAAACAATGATAATACAAGCAATAAACCAATCATCCAACCAAGATTTGAATAAGTACATTTCTATAACACGTATTCTATCAGCGTTTTCGATAGACCCTGGAATAAGGTGTAAAAAAACCCTAGAAGAAGTGGTGCATCGTCATTTGAAAAATAGGAAATCCCATGCAAATTTTGAACTGTCCAAATATTGGATCTCCTATTAATTTTACATCTAAGTCGTAAATAGGTTTTTTAAAGGCCTGCCTAAGCTCAGATACATGTCAAATTTGAACCTATTAAGCTTCATTCAGAACATCCAAATTAGTGGAATAAATTAGTGGTTTCAATTAGCGTAGAAGTTTGTTCCTCTAATTTCAATGTAGGCATTCAGAATGTCAAAATCAGTGGTAGTAATTTTCAATTAGTACAAAAAGTTAACAAACCTTTAACTTTTCCACTAATTATACTTCAAAATTTGCGATGAATGTCATTATGGCCTTAATTATCATCCGTCAAGAGAAATTGTCGTAAGGAAGCAAAAGTTTATTGTTTTATAAGGTAAATAGGTATTAGACATTGTGAATGATCGTAAACTAAAAAGTATAAAGTGTAATTGAAACCGAGCTTAAAGCTTCATTCAGAACCTCGCAATTAGTGGAATAAATTAGTAGTTCAATTAGTCGTAGAAGTTTGTTCACCTAATTTTAATGTAAGCATTCAGAACGTCATAATTAGTGGTACAGTGAAAGCTCTCATAAACGGACACTGACGGTTCCAGTAATTTTTTCCGCTTATGGGAGATGTCCGCTTAAAGCATAGGTCTATAATAAAACCTTCTTTTTCCGAAAATCTTGTTTTTTGATTTGTATTCATTCCAGATTGCCATTTAGTTCTGATATCTTCCTTATTTTTGGCTATTTCAGCAGCTTGCGTTTTTCCAATATTAAACCTTTTTGTTCATTTACGAACTGAAACTGTTTCTTTATCTAAAACACTAACAATTTCCATCTTTTCCTTTAAGGAAATCATTCTTTTTTTCGGTGCCATTTTAACTTTAACTTCACAAAATAACTACTATACCAATAACAGCGCTATCTGAACTAACGACAAAATATCAACACAAACGCGATGCATACTAGATAGGGGAATAACCTAATATAAAACGGGTAATTACCGACTATAATGTACGCGGACACGAAAAATTGTCCGGTTATTAGAGTTCCGCGTCCGCTTATAGGAGATTTTTAGTCGCATACCGGAATAATCTAGTGTCCGCATCCATTTAAAAGAGCGTCCGCTTATCGGATAGCATTTAACATTGAAAATCATATGCTGAAATTCGGTTCCAGCAAACTTTGCCGGTTAAGGGAGATGTGCGCTTATTGGAGCTGTCCGCGAGGAGAGCTTTCACTGTAGTAATTCAAAATTTGCGAGGAATGTCATTTTGGCCTTTGATTATCACCCGTCAAGAAAAATTTTGGTTAGAAATCAAAAGTTTATTGTTTTATAAAGTAAATATTAGACATTGTGAATGATCGTAAACTAAAAAGTATAAAGTGTAATTGAAACCACTAATTGCGGGGTTCTTGAAATGAAACTTTATACTTGAATCTTTTTATCATTGTCAAATATAATTTGTTGTGCTGTCTACACTACTACGTTAGAATACCAACCCTTAGTATCCCCGAAATGTATTTTTGTAACTTAAAACTGGTTCAAATGATGCAAAAGCCTGACATTTAGAAAATACAAAATATTGACAAAATTATGGGATGAAAACTTAAAATAACTTAAGGTACATTGGCATTTGCCTGGTTTTGCATTGTTACCTGTTAGGTTAGGTTAGGTCAGTTTTAATTTAAAAATAGATGCAGTTTTTCATAAATTACGTAAAATCGGCTTGTTCAAAATTGTTCAAATTTGACATGTATTGTGTATTCAACAAATTCAGACCTTGAGAAAACCCATTTAAAACTTCACTCTAAAATAAACAGGGAAGCCAATATCTGGACAGTTCAATGTTTTGTAATGTATAAAGGAACTATCCAATCGTTATTAAATTATAGTTTTTTAATAGAACTATCATATACAGTTCATATCAAATAAACTTTTAGTCACGTGATTAAGCTTGACCGATACAGTACATACTTTTATATATTTTCTTTTAATCAAAGTATTTTGGGAAACAAAAATAAATTAATTATAAATATATAAACAGTTATTATTTACATTAACAAAACTCACTTTCTTAACAGCACTTAAGGGACATAAGGGGTCATTACTACCGCTTTCCCGTTCCAAATATTCTGAAAAAGTTGCGATGAATTTTTTACGGTTATTAAGATAATATCTTGTACACTTCGCACTAAAAGAGGTTCTAAAAAGAACAATGTTCAACTGCAAGGTCATATAGTAAACATTTTTAAGCTTAAAGTATCACAAGCTCGTAATAAAAAACTAAAGTGTCAAAACGAATGACAATATCAGGAAGTAAATAAATAAATGAGGCAACTTGACATTTTTTACAGCAGAGCTGCCACCTCAATTCCCAGCGGAAAATTTAAATTCCACTAAGTCAGCACGGTACAGAATATGTTCATGGTTGGCAACAATGAATTTAAAAATCGCGCCCTCGATGACGTAATTGAAAATTTATTTGATATGAACCGTACATTTACAGCTACATTTATCTCTTGCGTAAAAATCCAATCGTGACTTTTTTATTCTATTTATTTTTTCCGCTCTTCGATAAACAAATGCTTATACTAAAAATAGCCCTTTTGTTTATTCAAGCGACGTCCCAGCAAATATTATTCGGCGTGAAGATTGGAAAGGTCTTGAGCGACGCCTGTATTTCAGTTGGAAAACTGTGCCGCGAATGTCATTTATAATGATCTACAACTCGCACATCGGCATCGTTAAAATAACGACAACGCACACACACACTTCGCTAAAGTAATTTGATTGTATTGGTTTTCCACTTTCATGTCGCCGGCAAATAAACAAGCTTTATTTTTTGCTTTTCGTCAAAAAAATACAGGCTTGTTTTTCTTTGCCCTTGAAATAATTTTTGGGTTGTAATTTATAGAATATATCATTCTGGGGGGTTGCCGCCAAAAGTCACTAACTATCATTTTTCCGAACAACCAAATTCAATCACTAACTATATTTTGAAGCGGAGAATCGATTGAAAAGTCATTAACTACGATTTCTAGCTATTTATGTTTTATTTTAATACCGAATAGTTACTAACTATAACATCTTTATGAAATGCAATTCATCTTTAAACCCGTTTTTCTCGGAAGTAATGAAAAGTAAGTTAGTGACTTTTGACAGCAATGGGGCGATATTATTGTCCCAATATATTTTAAAGCATATACAGGGTGGTCCGAACTGTATTACGGAAACTTCGGCAGCATATTCTGCAGATAAAAATAAGTAAAAAAGTTCGTATAAGTGTATGTCCTAAAATGCTTAGTGTCGGAGATACAGGGTGTAGAAGTTTCATTTTTATTTCGATTTTTTTCCAAATAATTTCTGAAGTAACGTCCATATTTGGGTG